GAGCTTAAACATCGCCTCCAGACGCCTCCGTTACTTGCCCATTTCGACGAATTCGCCGAGACAGAAATACATACTGACGCAAGCAGCGTAGGTCTTGGCGCCGTTCTTGTGCAGAGGGCCGACGGACTTGAAAGGGTTATTAGTTACGCCAGCCGATCGCTATCCAAAGCAGAAGCAAATTATTCCACAACAGAAAAGGAGTGCCTCGCCATCATCTGGGCTACGTCGAAATTTCGTCCCTACCTCTACGGCAGGCCCTTCAAAGTTGTGAGCGACCACCACGCCTTGTGTTGGCTAGCCACCTTGAAGGACCCTTCAGGTCGCCTCGCACGATGGAGCCTGAGACTTCAAGAATATGACATTACTGTCATTTACAAGTCCGGCAAAAAACACTCCGACGCTGACTGTCTCTCTCGTGCGCCTGTCGACCAACCGCTACCCGACGACTCGGATGACGACTACTTCTTGGGAACGATAACTACCGACGACTTCGCTGAACGACAGCGGGCCGACCCGGAACTTAAAGCCCTAATAGAATACCTCGAAGGCAGGACCGCCGAAGTCCCGAAGGTATTCAAGCGCGCACTTGCGTCGTTCTTTCTACGAAACGGTTTTCTACAAAGGAAAACTTTTCACCGCTTCGAGCTAAGTACCTCCTTGTGGTGCCTTCAGCTCTGCGACCAGAACTCCTGCAGGCCCTGCACGACGATCCGACGGCAGGGCACCTCGGTGTTTCCCGCACGCTCGCGAGGATACAAGAAAGGTACTACTGGCCACGTCTTACCACCGACGTCACTCGTTATGTGAGGACATGCCGGGACTGTCAGCGACGCAAGACACCGCCGACAAGGCCAGCGGGACTTCTGCAGCCAATTGATCCACCTTGCCGACCTTTCCAGCAGATTGGTATGGACCTACTGGGGCCGTTCCCGACGTCGGCTTTCGGAAACAAGTGGATCGTGGTAGCTACCGACTACCTCACCCACTACGCCGAGACAAAAGCCCTGCCAAAAGGCAGTGCATCCGAGGTAGCTAAGTTCTTCGTCGAAAATATCGTCCTACGTCACGGCGCCCCGGAGGTCCTTATCACCGACAGAGGAACGGCATTCACTGCCGACTTAACTCAAGCGATCTTGGCATACAGCCAAACAAACCACCGCCGGACGACAGCGTACCACCCACAGACCAACGGCCTCACCGAGCGGCTTAACAAGACGATCGCCGACATGCTGTCAATGTACGTCGATATCGAACACAAGACGTGGGACACCATTCTTCCGTATGTGACTTTCGCATACAACACGGCGGTGCAGGAGACGACGCAGATATCTCCATACAAACTGGTCTACGGAAGGAGCCCGGCAACGACGCTCGATGCCATGTTACCCAACGTCACCGACGAAGAAAACCTCGATGTGAGCGAGTACCTTCAACGCGCCGAAGAAGCCCGACAACTTGCGCGTCTTCGTATCAAGAATCAACAGACGACCGACAGCCACCGTTACAACCTTCGACGACGCTTCGTGGAATACCAGCCCGGTGAACGTGTTTGGGTGTGGATGCCGATACGCCGACGTGGACTAAGTGAAAAGCTTCTGCGACGCTACTTCGGACCGTACAAGGTGGTTCGACGTCTCGGCCCACTTGATTACGAGGTTGTCCCCGACGGCATCACGAACTCTCAACGACGCCGATCGCGACCTGAAGTCGTCCATGTCGCGCGCCTCAAGCCGTTTCATGCACGTTAACAAACTGAAACAGTGTTTTTTTTTGTATTATTGTTGTATTGTAATTTATTCATTGTACTTTCTTGCATTATTATTGTACCTTCATCTTTAGTTAAAGCATCGGGACGATGCCTTTTTTCAGAGGGGGGCAATGCCACGTTCCATTTCACAAGTTTTTGTTATCGTTCCGAGACACCACACTATTCTCGGCGCAAACCGTGCCTGCAGGTTTCTAGAAGGTTCCGGACTGTAGTAGATCATTTCGATAAGATCACGCCCACTGTGCGAACGGTACAGATTGTTCTGGAACCTACGCCACCGCCAGCGATAACGCTAGAACATTCGACGGCAAGGGTATAAATGCCGACGCGCTTCGCCGCTTGTCAGTTGTTGAGTTGTTGATCGAAGGCCGACGCTGCGTTCGCCGCTATCAGTCCGAGACTGCTATCTGTGCAAGACTGCTGCTGTAATTAGGCTTTCCCTTTACCGGGCACAGGTTCGCCCAAATAAACAGTTAAATCCCTACACAAAGTTTTCCGTCTTTGGCCACGTCACGATTCCGTGACAATATTCGTAGCGCAAAGCGGAAATTTACGAAGACCCGGAAGGAACGCCTAACCAAAACGGGCGCACTCTCACGCTCAGAGGTGATTTCTTATGTCTGTAACGTCACGTGTTACTACCAAAGATTTACTTTCAAATACTGAATCTCTTTGCTGGATAAGGCAACCGACGCCACATTGACACATTTTCTTTGACTCTCGCTGATTTTAAACGCTTCTATAACTCCTCGCGTTACCTTATCCTAGCCTTTTCTACGCACAGGTGTATACGCGAAATCTGGAGCACTACCTCGCCTGCGGCAAATATTCGCAAAATGACTTCCCCCTGCCTGATCATACACTGCCGAATGGTGCTCTCTGTCATTAGCACAGTGCCCGGATTGTCCTGTGTAGCATCTGCCACATGAAAGGGGTGTATCATACACGACTCTCGTCTCGCAATGCACGAACAGTGTCACGTACTTCTTTGAGCACGCATTGTGCATTTTCTTTAATTCACGCATAAGCGAGAATGAAATAAAATGTGTCAGTATGGCACCGGCTGCCTTATCCAGAAAAGAGATCGAGTATTTGATAGTAAATCTTGCGCATGCAGTGTCATAACACGTGACGTTATCGGCAAAAGAAAGCACCTCTGAGTTTGAGTGTGCGCATTCGCTCATCTCCGACGGTTTGTGGCTTTTTTCATTCGAAAATCAGTTGATGTCCAGCATTCGTCCTGGTTATGTGTTCTTTCCGTCTCTGTCTTTTTTTTTCGTTTGGAGCTACGAATATGAATGCAAGACACAGCTTTCTATTCGTTGCTTCACAAAGCCCGGTAGACGAAGTCAAGAGCCATGAAACGCCTGAGCAGATATAATTGCACCACAGTTCTGCATTAAAACGGCAAAAAGAGGTGAAGAAAATACGCCAAAACATATCTAGCCCCCGTTTATTCAATATTTCAACGAGGTGCAAGCCTTCAACCAAAGACAAAATTTGTACAAAGAAATACTGGAAATGTTTGATATTCAAAGAGTGTCAGAGAAGCGCAACACCACGTTCTGTCTAGATTGAATGCGTGGAGCCCAAGGACTGGTTTCCTTAAGACTGTGTAGAGTCCTAAAAGCGAATCGCAAGTCTATCGACTGCCGAAAGAGAAGGAATGATTTTTTTTCACTGTCTTGTTTTGCCCCACAGGTTGGGGCAAAATGAGACTTCTGGAGCTTGCTTTATTTATCTTTAAAATATTGCTTTGAACGGAAGCAACACGGTCATTGTTTTGTAGCACATAACTTGTACGCAAAGAGAAATTTCTTCAGTGATGTTCAGTTTAAGGAGTTGAATATAAATAAATATTCACTATTCAAAAAGCTTTGTCGCATTTTACCCCACCCTGCCCTAACAGTTTAACCGATTTACCTCCAAAGCTTCACCAACTCATCCTTATTCACTACGGGGATATAGCTTGATTTTTCCCGCTCCACTTCCCATTTGAAGAATTTTTTTTTTGCAAAATCATAATTAAAGGTCTTTTAAGAATGGAAAAACTGATTATGTTGCCCCTTGTTTTGGGCGTATTTTGTAATTTTCCGCACGGTGGCATTTGGCGACACTGCTTAAAGGGGAACTGCGGCGTTTTTTTTTATGATATTCATCCATCTCGATAAAACTTTCAACAAGTTTTCTCGTTGGTATTGTTGTGATGTGTGACATACAGGTTTGTGTAGGCGAAATTCAATTTTAAAATCAATAAAACAAAACAACAAACCATGCCTTCTGTACCAAAGCGTCGCAGGCTACCGAGTTGAAAAAATGATATAACTGTAAGGCGTTTAGTTCTTAGAAAACGAATTTTAAAGTTGGTAGCCGATTCTGGAATACCCCTTTTAAATGTGAGCCCCCCTGGGTCAACTCTTTTTCCAAAACCCAGCCTTTCCCAGCAGACGGATGCCGCGCGCGCTTTCTTCTACGAGGCGATGACAACGCTAGCATAGTTCAGTTTTGTATACTCCATACAGCATGTTAGTCGTCGTTGACGTCGAGTCTTACAATGTTGAGCCACGAGGAAATCAATAAGGGGCATGTCAAACGCTTCACGTGCCAGCAGCTAGAAATCAAAAAGAGATGCTTCCACGCTTCTATGGTTGCTGCAGTCATCGCTAAACTAGTTCTTCGTAAGTTCAGATGAGCTGGCACAGCTTGATTACACGTCGGTTGATATCGCCAACTCGCTCTCACGCGTGAAACAGACGCGTGAGCTATGTTTACACCTTGGGCAGCCATGGCGGGGTGTAGCAGCTTTCATGACGTCATCGGTGACGGATCCTCGTGACGTCATTCGATACCCACCATAGATGAGAGAGCAGTTCCCTGTTTTGGCTTTTGTTTTGACACGTCGTTTACTGCTTAATTAAAATAATGGACGAGTGCCAGGACGAAATGAACCAACCTACCTTTTGCAGGACTGCCAATACTATTTGAAAACAGCATTATCTCAGTAGGGTAGACAATTCATCAGAGTTCTCCTTTAAAACAGTGTTTGAGAAGTGTATGTGCTATACACGTTACATACAGTTCAATCAATCAATCAATTAATCGATCGATTCCTCTATCACTTCAGGAAGTAAGGAGCACGGGAAAATAAAGCTCTTCCGACTACATTCAGCATTTTTTGTCCTTATACCGCGAAAGCTATACTATGCCACAATAGTTTTTTTTTATTACTCACTGATTTCACTGGTAGCGAAGGTGGTCATCACGTACAGAACAGCTGCAATCCAGATAGACCAGTGCAGCATCCGTACTGGACTCCTGCGAATCTCGCACACTGTCGAAATGCAGTCCGCCACATCTCGACTGCGCAAGAGGAAACTCATGGTTACTGCGAAATCATGTCATCATGCAGCCAGGAGAATAATTAAGTTTAACAGAGCCGTCGATTGCGTAGCAGTATAGGATAACTAAAGCTGCGGATGCCGTTGATGAGTCAATATAAAGAAAATGAAATTTCTGAGATGTCATTGGGAATTAAATAACAAGTAGTATTAGGTATTGTTATGAAGCAATGGTTTATATTTACAGATGAGACGAAATTATGTGGAAACAGGAACACTGATGTAGACTCTTTTCAAAATTGTAACGTTACCTTTTCTGCTTCGCAGATTGACCAACTAATGGTGGCTAGTCACTAACTTCAAGTATCCTGGTATAGGCGCATTGCTTGCGCAATGATGTGGGAAAATTTTGAGTTGGCTTTTTTCATAATAGACAAGTCCCATGACGTTCAAGTTTGACCACGTGTCCACTTGAAGCACGACAGGTGCCGCCATTACTTGGGCAAGTATGCAGTGCAGAAAAGAGCACTTGAGGGCTATTAGAAGGGTTCATTGCGAGTTAAGGTCAGTCCAGTTGGCTTGCTTGTTCCTCTTTTCTGGCCCCTACACAATGAGAAGCATTGGCCAAGAAACCAGCGGTTAATGCAAGTAAACAACTTAGGACTATGCGGACTAAAAAAGTGATTACGTTATTTATGACAGGACAGAGTAATTCCGGCACGACGAGAAAGAAATAAAAAAACAGAAATAACAGGATTTTTCGAGTAACTCAGAAATGTTTTAATAACGCACGATTCTTTAGTAGGTTGAATCAATTCAGTATAATAACCAAACACTAAGCTAAGGTTGGTTAAGAAAAAAGCTCATCACCTGCTGAGCAACGTAACCTCCTTGTGTCACACAGAAATTCGTCGGGGCCCCGCAGACGTTTCTGTCGCTAAATTCCTTTGAAGCAGCCTTATTCCACAAAACCAGAGAGTATAAGTTCCGGCTCTAGCACCCATCCTCTTTTTCTGCGTTTAGCACACTCACGAATTTGCTTGACCATATGATAGACAAAACTATTATTATTATATTATTATTAATGTTATTAATGTTATTATTATTATTATTATTATTATATTATTATTATTATTATTATATTATTATTATTATTATTATTATTATTATTATTATTATTATTATTATTATTATTATTATTATTATTATTATTATTATTATTATTATTATTATAATATTATTATTATTAAACAATGTTGAATACTGCTACTCTGAAATACGGTTTCAGCAGAGTGGATATCCATTTGTTGAGTTTACGAATTGCCAACTCAATAAAAATGAAGCAGGTAAGGCATGTACCAGCAGGCACGCCGGGACTGGTGATGATGTTGATGATGATTCCCAGAAGATTGCACAACCCACCACAGGGGATCGGTTGATGAGAGACCAAGTGGCGACAGACATTTATCCTCTTCGCCAAGCCCACATCACCGAGAATGTCAATATGCATGCAATCCTTGCATCATAGAGTTACATACAATAATACGTATTACTACGAAAGTCTGTGCCTCGTAGCAGTACAATGATTGGTATTGGATGAAGCGTTATGCCTTGTGGCATTGTAATAAAATCAGCGCTGCACTCAAGATGATCAATAGCGGAGAATAAAGACTACAGTGATTGAAATAAACAGCACCCGTACGTGTGAAAGTTACACCGAATGGCACTTAAAACAACGAGAACGAAGCCTCACCTAGCTTCAATAAGATTTCAAGAGGTCAACTTTGTGTAACGCTGAAATTTATTATTGTATCATATTTCCGTAATGCAAGTATTGGGTAATGCTTGTTGTTGTACTGATTAATGTAGGTTGAATATGTTTATGTCGTCCAGTGCTGTTTAATAGTGTGATATGATTGTCTCGTGCTGACCAATGGTGCATATTACTGCCTATTGTAGGCCATCCACCCCGAATTGTAATAAAATAGCGTGAGTGCACTAACACTGTGCCTCGATTTTGGTCCGTTAAGGGCTCTACAGACTACAACATTACTGGGAATTTTCCCCCGTAGTGATCACTCTTAGCAGAACTAGTACTTTTTTCGTGTGCTGTATACAGGTGTTCTCAGTTCTTTTCGTATATATTCGCCGGGCACAACCTTTATAGTTACTGGTTAATATGTGCAGGATAGGGCATGTACATAACGTAGGACAGTATGAGTGGCATCATTTCGCTTGTTAACGTGAACGTAGAGTGTTGTGTAATAATATTTATTCGTAATAATTATATTCATTTATTTATTTATTATTTTATTTATTTATTTATTTATTTATTTATTTATTTATTTGTTGATCTCTGCCAACCCTCAGTCTGAACGGACATATAAAATACACTTGGTGGGGTCACCACAACTAATAAATAGCCAGCCAAATTTCATTTGCAGGAAAAATTTCGGATCTGTGGTGAAAATGTAAGGGCACAAACACAAAAGAAGTATATATCACCAGGATAACCTCTTTTTCTTTATACGATATCTAAGGCGGGGCCCAATCAGTCACTGTCTTTCTGAACAGATAATTGCGTGTTACCCTATTGAACCACAAAGCCAAGTAGTTCCAACCGTTATCGAATTTTATATAAAAAGAATAAACATCTATGTATTCTGACTTGAACGATGGTAAATTTTTCTATTGCGACGAATACTTGCCTTTAAAACATAATATTTTTGTGTTAAATGTGTGCTGTTAGGCCAGTGTTGTGAATGAAGTGAAGTAGTGTCTTGTGGGATGTGTTATCATGTATCCAGCGGTTGTAAGTGGCTGTGTCGCTGTAGCGAAGGCTGGCTTGAGCGAGGTGACGGGAGCGTTCTGCTGCAGCCTTTTACATGTTCATAAAAAGTGCTATGTATCTGCTTGTATCGCAGGAGTGGGATAATACGGATGCGTATCACCAACTCGTAAATCTGACCAGTTCCATCACGATATAACGGCCGGTGTAAGGGCCACCCCTGACCGAAGCCTCCTAAGCACAACTTCCTCCGCCCTAGTAAGGTGACGGGGGAAAGAGCAGACACACGGTGGAATGAGAGCACGTGTATCCTGTCGGAGAACATTTTTACGGGTATGGAGTAAGTTTAGGGGCTGAGGTGGAAGGGGAATTGCTGGAAGGTCTACGTCTGGAGGGCAGTGCGCCTTCTGGTCAGCAGCAATGGTGTGTGAGTTCGCAGCATGGCCTTGAATCCAATCTACTTTTACGCAAGCAGCTGTATTATGGTTCAGCTTATGAATCGCCTCCCAGATCTCCATCGCCTTGTGTACTTTCTTGAGCTCCTTAATAGCTCCTAAAAAATCAGGGTATACGTCAATCTGTATGATTGTGGGCAGCTTAGAGGTAGCATCCTGGATTGCATCGTGGATAGTTTGAAGCTCCATCACAAGAGGAGTGGCTTCCGTAGATAGATAACGCTGGTGGCCTCTGACAAAAGCATGCGTAGTACTTAGGAATGATGTCCTTCCGCCATCTTGTAGGATAGCAGTATCTGTATATAGTTTGCAGGTATTAGCGCATGGGGCCTCGATGATGGAGCGTGCGCCAATTGTAGATGATGTATCAGAGCGCCGTAGCTTTGTTGTTTTATTAGATGTGATGGTGGTGAAATCCCAGGGAGGCATAGACTCGGGCTGGCTGTCAATGCGAGAGCCACGTTGAAATTGAGCCTGCAACGCAGGAACAACCGGTACAAGCTGTCTTTTGATTTCACGAGCTTTCTGTCTTTGCGTAACCATCTCTGCAATTGTGTTAAGCAGGGCGTGCTCCTGTAAAGTTGGTATGGGAGTGATCCGAGGTAATGCTGTTATTGTGCGCATAGCATCACGGTTATTAGTGTCCAATTGTGCCAACTGGGCCAAAGTTAACCGTTGAAATTGCGCCTGGTATAAAATTCTAGGCTGCAGAACTGTGCGGACGAGCTGTCGAGCTGCAAGCGTACGAGCTCCAGCTGCTTTCGATGCGATGTGGCGAATCAGATGAAGTGTTTTTGTAAAACTCTGTCTGACTTTTCGAAGCCAGTGCACTCCACTGCCGGACTGGTGAATATCATGACCTAGTATGCGGACCTCCGAAGCCTCAGAAATGGTCACTGCACCTAGTGTAAATGTAAAGGAGCACTGCTTGATTTTTTTTTTGCGTCCTGCTTTGTTAGCTACCTGAACATAGCATGATTTTTGGGCGGACATGTCTAACCTTGCGTTCCAAGCGTAGCTCTGAAGAACATCAAGGGCTTTCTGAAGCTGTTATGCTTGTCTTGAGACATCTTTATGTACAGACCATAAAGTCGCATCATCAGCGTATATCAGATATCTCACGTCTGGAAGTCGGTGTGGTTGCCATGCCAGAAGTCTTCCAGCAATGTTGATCAGGACAAGAGCCAAAGTGGATCCTTGCGGGACACCTCTGTTGGACATGAAGCAACCTTCAGGCTTTCCATCTACTCTTATCACAAATGTGCGGTTGTGAAAAAAAGAGTAAAAAAATTTTACTGCCCACAGTGGAAATCAGAGCTCGATGAGGTTGGTTAAAATGACGTCGTGATTTATGTTGTCGTAAGCTTTCGTTACGTCCGGTACTATTACAGTGCGTAGTGCGTGGCTGTGTGGAGAAACTTGTGAAATGTCATCCGACAAGATAGAAAGACTAGCTTCAGTCCCCAAATGATAACGGAACCCTATTTGAGCTGGATGGTACTTGTTGTGTCGTTCAAGCCACCAAAAAACACGTGTGGCCAGCCTCTTTTCAGCAAGCTTGCAGACAGTAGCAGTCAATGATATTGGGCGCAAGGATTGCAGGCTATTTGGAGACTTTCCGGGTTTTGTAACTGGGACGACAACTGAGTGTTTCCAAACAGATGGGATGTCCCCAGTTTCCCATATTTTATTAATAGCCTGCAGAAGTGCATCCAGAGCTTCACCTTCCGTGTTCTTGAAAACCTCGTATGGAATACCGTCTGGACCAGGTCTTGTTTC